AAATCTTTTTGATAATAATAAGTCTTTTTTATTCATTAAAAGATTTAAAACGTACCATATTAATTTACATTGGTTCTAGTCTTGTTGAATAAGTTTTTGAAAACTTGGGAGTTGCCATCATTACTTAATTTTTTCCTCTTTAGCCAAATCTTTGTTCTCAATACCTTTCAAATAATCAATTATCGTATATAATGGCTTGAGTAATAAATTATTCAAATGATTTTACTTTCAACATTGTTAATCAGAAATCTTTGACATTATCCTTCAATTCATATCAAAATTGATTGATAAGGGCTTTGTCATTTTAGTCTATGTCACAAGCAAGATTTTGGAATTTAATAGCATATATGGTAGCTGATCATGATTCTTGTTATAAAAATACAAGCTTGGTCTTTGCTACTTTTTTTCAATTGCTTTCTCCAAATGTGATTGTAAATACTTTTAAAAATGAATTCAAATTATAAAGGAGTCGTGAATTATTTTCTATCAAAAGTACAAATCAAAAGAGAATACTTCTAGATAGAAGTACTTCTATGAATTCAACTTGAGCAAATCCACTAGCATATTGGAAGGAATGTAAGCTTAAATAGAACTTAATTTGTTGTAAAAATCTTCAAAACTTTGATCTTGTTCCATCAAACTATGTGGGCATATTAATCCTTATTCCTATTATATTTATAGAAGAAAAACTTTTTGGATTTGGTTGACAGCTTGATCTACTTATTTCCTTCAAAAGTACAATTTCTTAACTCATATTGTGAACTTCTTCCATAGATGTAGGATTAATGTTTTCGTGATTGATACTAGTGATGCATAAAATTTCTATCCTAAGAATGTTGACAAGTTTGTGAAGTTCTACAATAGTTGCAAATCTATTCTCACTTGTATTAAATAAAGCATCTATAATTTTTTCTTTCATTTCAAGTAACTTAACAAATCCTCAAGTCAAATTAAAAAAAGATAATCTGCAACTTCTAATGTCAAAAGAGGGATAATTCACTCTCTTTGAGGAAAAAAATCAGTACTAAAAATTGGATACTTTGTTTAAAAATAGATAATTTATAACCTTTAAAATACAATAATAGAAGTGAGGTAATTCAGTCACTTTTAAAATAAGACATAAACAATGAGTTAGCACTCTTGTTAAACTATTAAGGACATGAACCTCGAAAAATTAAAAGATCAATAAACTCTTGTGTCACTCAAAAAGACAATAAAATCATTCAAAGCTGATATAATATTTAACTATAATAGCTATTACCAACAACAAAAATACTAAAAAGACTTGAAACAAGACTAAAGACTAAAAAGGCATTAATAAGAATGAAGAAAACTTCACTCTTATCTTCATATATATTCTTAACTAAGAGCTATGTGGCAATGTTCCACAAGACCTCTAAAATATGTTGACTTTGCAAGATACATATCTTAACTTATAAGGCAAGTTTTTTATATATATGCCACATAGTTGGCTTGTTTTGTAAGCTACCAACACATGGTTAACTTATTGACTAAGTTTCCAACCTACCAATCAACTACATATACATGTAAAGTCAAAGCAATGTCTAGAAGCTTCTTTAAAAAAATACTACAAAATAAATCTATTTCTATTTATTTCTATTTAATCATATAGATAAATATTAGAGTAAATATGTATATCTGTGACAACAAGTTGCATTCGTGGTACTTTTGTTAGAAACTTGTTCTATAAATTTAACATGTATCTTGTAAGTTAAACATGTGTCATATGGCTTATAGGACATTGTCATATACTTCTTCAATATGTGGTATATACAAAGGTAAGAATGAAGCCTCTATTCTTATCATCACTTTTTTTGTGTTCTATCTTGGTTCAAGACTTCCTAGTCTTTTTGTATTTGACAATAGTCACTTTAGTTTTAATTCTATGTCTATCTTTCAGTTGTCTATTTTTTCTCTTTTAGTGAAATAAGAATATATTCTTATTTTTAGAATTTTATTGTAATTTATGTGCATAAAATTAGTATGTGAATAAAAAAGACTTAAAAATATTATATTATAATTTTTTGATTAAATTATATTTCGATTTCATAGAAAAATATTTATCTTTTTAATCTTTTAAAATATAGCATTTATTTGTTTATTATTTAATTTAAAATTTAACTCATTGAATTATAATTTAATTTAATTTAAAACCCATTTATTATTATATCTAAAATATTATATATTTTAAAGTCTTAATCACCATTTATTGTATTAATTTACATATTATAAAGTAAAATGGTTGTAGTGATTTTAAAGATTTTGTGCATAATGTAAATATTTTATTTTTTGTTAATACAAGATATTTCAACTCTAATTTAATTAAAAAAAAATACTTGCATATTTTATAATTCTTGTATTATTTTTTATCTACAAATTATGAATTTTTAACTTTACATGCAGTTAAAATGTAAAAACAATATATAACATGTACAACTTTTTAAACTTTGATTACAGCCTACAAATAGAACTCATATTTATAAAATTTGAAAGAATCTTGATAATTAAACTCAATTGCAATTTATCAGCAACCTCAAAGTTGTTGCTTTTAAAGATTTTTTATTTTTTCTAAAATCTTGAATAATCTCTTTTGATCAAAAAAATCTATTATTTTTAATTATCATAGTTCAAAATAAGTATTTATACTAATATTTTTTATTTCAAATTTTCTCCATAGAATTATCAATTAATAGGTGAGTAAATATTTATTATTATTTTTAAAAATCAGTAATTAAAACTGCTTATTGAAATTAATTTTTAATTTTAGAAGATAAAAGATTTTAAAAACATTAGTTTTGAAAGATTGTATTGTGATGAGAATACTTTAAAGTATTATGTGGAAAATTTTGATTATATATTAAGTATAAATATGAATGCATTTAGATTAAAAAATAGTTTAATATATTTTCCAGTATTGCATAGAAAATAAGCACTCTTGATTAAGCTTTATTATTTAAACATTGAATTGAAGGGAGACTGTAAGAAAAATAAGTAAAATATATTATCTACAATAATTTTTATTTTTAAATGATAAAATGATGTATAATAAAATTTGAAAAATGTGCTTGTTATTTTATATATCGTAATGAAAAACATATCTACAGGCGAAATTTAATATTTTGTAACCTTTATTGATGGCTTCTTCAAGAAAATGTAGATATACATACTTAATGCTAGAAACATTTGTTTTAAAAAATTCATAAATTTTTCAGTACTTGTATAAAAAATTTAAAAAAATCAAAACAAAAAGTTTGAAGTAATAAGAATAAATATTTAAAGTAGATTTATCTTTGAGTAGGTTGTTGATTTTTTTAAAAAAAATGAAATTACAAGGCAAAATGTGGATTCTTATATTATATACTAAAAGGAAAAAATAAGTCAAGAAGATTAAATTTTATAATAATATATGGTAAAAAACATGTTTAATGCTTATTACTTCAATCACATATTTTGAATCTAACTAATGGAAAAATATTAAATAATCACATAATCATTGCCTAAAAATTATTTTTGTATCAATGATGCATGAAGAAGCATTAAGGTATAACAAGTATTATGATATAGTGTTAAAGAATTTTTTAATACTTTTTATATGAAATAGTGTCAAATTATATAAATAAATAAAAATTAATGCAAAAATACCAAGCTTGTATTTTGGAATAAAAGTTTTAGAAGATAAGGACATTGATCAATTTTGGAGATGTATCTAAATTAGAGAATTTATATAAGTTTAAATACATTTTTAAGTTTTTGAGGTTTCAAATATACAAAAAAAAAATATCAAAAAGTACCAATAATTCTAAGAAAGACAAAATAATTGATCTCTAAAAGAGAAAATGAAGATATAAAATCTTGTTATTTAATTAAGCTCATATTATATAAGTAGAAGCAAAATCTTAAATAAACATTAATATAACATAAACGGTTTGTGAATATTTGGAAGTAGTACAAAAAACACATCTTTTAAGGATATATAAAAAATATTAAAATGTAACGTTATAAATAATAAATTGATATTTTGGAAGGTGATAAGACTAAGAAATCCAATCAAGTAGGAAATACCATAAAAGAAATTTATAAATTGTTTAAAAGAATCATAACAATAGAATTAATGCCTCTTTCATAAGATTCTACCAGTAAAAAATCTTAGTGAATACTTTATATCAAAATAATGAATTTGATAAGTTTGTAAGATACAAGATAATACTAATGGCAAATAAACCATTGCAAGTGGAAAAAGCAGATCTTAATAAGATTTTTTTTATGTATTTCTAAATGTAACATTTTTACAAATATTCTTATTATTAAAAAATAGTAGAATTCTACAATATATTATATTTCTTTAAGAAAGATGTATTATTTTAAAAAAATTGATCCATAGAAATTATATAACTTAAATTATTCATAACAAATATTGACCTCACTTAAATAAAGATGTGAAATTATACATTATATAAGGAAATAAAATAGGAATTCTATCAAATATTAGATATATGTGCCTAACAAAGATATGGCTATATATATATATATATATATATCTGTGTGTGTGTGTGTGTGTGTGTGTGTGTATTTTTACATTAAAAATATAATTGTATTTAAAACTTAAAAATTAAATTCTACAAAAGTTTAAGACTTTCTTGTCAACTCTTTTACCATTTTCTTACACTTTAACATTTTCTATTCACATATTCTTCCATGTCTTTTTCAACCCATCTGTTCATTCTTTATCAAAAAAAAATTAGAAAATATCTTTGTTTTAGATTATCCTTCTAATGTTCTGAATAAATATCTTAAGTTCAAACCAAATATTCAAATTTTCATGTGCTAAAACCAAATTTATTTTATGCAACCACCAAAAATACATTGTGAACCCAAAAAAAATTCTTTATTTGAAGAGAATTTATATGAAAAAATAGACATTATAAGCCAGTAAGACATCAACCTTTGCTGAACACAATTTTAAACAACGGGCCAAAAAAAAAAGAATCATAGTTGATGCAGTCGTACATCCCATTCCCATTAAAAAGAAAGTTTTGGACATCAAATTCTTGCAAAATGCTCGAAAGACATCAATTCATCACCACAAGAACTCCATCTCGCTCCAAATCAGGTACTCATCTAGCAACAAGGCCGGCTTCCTCACTAATCCTAAAGATCGAGTGAATCCTTACGTTACTCTGCAATATAATTCTTTAAAATCTATCAACTCAAGATCACCAGCACCTGACAAGGCACATGGTTAGTTTTTATGAATCTGTGAACTGGTGGGACACAGATTTTAAGACCTTCAAGTGCTGGAATTTTTCTTTGTTCCTAAATTAATTATCTCTACCTTGATGCATCCTATACAAGGTTTCACCTTCAACACCAAGCGAAAAGAAAGGTGACCTCTAACAAAAATCTCTAACCTATTTATTATCTATGTGACAAGTAATATTGACTTCTTGGCCTGACGTACTTCCATAGCCAACTCCTACTTCGCAAGCGATTCCTTCATCTCAACATCTGTTGATATTTTGTCTGCTGCTTTGGCTAACATGGTAGATGGCCCTTCCTTTTCCAAAGGTATATTACGACACAAGTCTGGCATAGGTGACTTCCCACCACCCTTTAAATCCTTTGCATTAGATGACCGACCCTGTGAAGAGACTGGTTTCTTCGCTAATGTACCCTCCGAGCATTGGCCTCTGCTCCTGTTAACTCAAATCAGAGAAAAGGTACATCAAACAAAAATAACGACCTTGGCTTTAGTAATCGTTGCCATTCTCTAAACCAAATCAACCAATGAAACTAAATCAAAATGCATCTACCAAAGCTCTTAACATTGCCTCACCTCTTTCGTGAATCCAGAAAACGCGCCAATGAATTTTTCCGAGCATTTGGTAGGGCTGCGAGAAAACAATAACATAGGAATGGGTCAACTAATAGAACTCAAACATGAATATGAAAAAGTGATGTATAGTGATCAAAAACATCGAAATGCAAATGCACTGATAAAAATACGTTTAGCCATCATTAGCACATTCTGTGACCGAGTGCTTTCAGTGGTAACAGTCATACTGAGAGGCACTGGAGGCTGTTCAGCAGAGGCCGTCTTTGCAGGATTTGAATCCTCTGCAGGTCCTTGATCGAAGGTTGAACCTTCGATACGATTAGCAGAGGGTGCCTGGTCAGAGGGAACAGAAAAGGGCTTGGATTGCGGGAGATATTGCGACGGGTCTACTTTTGAGGGAGAGGTAGGAACTAGGATAGGCCGGACTTGCGAAAGTGGTCTTGAAATTGGGGCTACATTCTTCAATGCTTTCGTATTATGAGTTGTTCCAGAATTTTCAGCAATCAACATAATAAGGCGTGCCTGTATCCGCTAAAAGAAATATTGTCAAAAATATGCGCAAGACGAGCATTAGAAACTGGGTGCTACATAATCAACCAAGAAGTACAACAGGGAAATACCAGACACAAAGAAAGCAGTTTACCTTGTCTGCTGGGACATTGTCAGTGACATTCACAGTTCCATCATAAAAGATTGTTAGGGATGCAGTTCGAGACTCATTAAATGTAGACTTCGGGGCAAGCCTATTCACACATCACTCATTGTCAGACATAAATAATTGTCATTACCACAACCTGTCGCAAAAAGTGAAGCGCACAACACTAAGTAACATAAGCAAAACTTACTAATGAAAAAAGACTTACATTTCTCGTGACATAGTGGATGCTTTGGCCACCAAAGTTGACTGCTTAGAAGCAATTAAGCTTTGCTGAACTGATTTTGGAAGATGCGATGCATTCTCTGCTGCTTTTGTTTCTAATATCGCCTGTGATTTCTGTTTTGGAGCCAGCATATCTGTCCACCACAGCTACTTATTAAAAATTTAGCGATACATGACGATGATTAAAAAATAATGAGTTGATTAATTCTTTAATTAAGAGGACTTTCAACTAAGTGGCTTACCTCCAGCACGTCTGCCATAATGATCAGAAGGTGCCTGAGCAAGCGCTTCTAAGGCCCGGCTAGCGAGCAATCTTAAAGAGTTTTGTCCTTGATGAAGAGTCTCCGGCTTTCCGCCTTGCTCCTCATTTTCGTTTTCTTTGTCTTTTATCACCTCTTGCTGCATCAAATAACAAGCAGACACTTCAGAATTTTAGAAGTACAACAATAGTTTGTAAGTTTTAAACAAGCAGACCATGCTCCCTCACCCAAGGAATGAGTCTGTGCAAATGTGAATTTCATCGTGAGGCTGAGCGGCCATGTAAAGAAAGCTTACATTTGCTAGTGATGCCGTTGTTCCATTCCAAGCAGGCCAACGCATCCCTGGATAAATAAAATTATAACTCCCATGAACATCTGTAAACTGATACAGCATGACCTGCCCCTATTCACTACAACAAAGGACGGGGCTAATTAAAATCAACATCCAAACAACCAAACTGATTCTATGATATATGCTTCAGGTGCTCTGAACTTACATAATACTAACCATTTTGCACCCATGACATTAGTCAGCTGAAAAGGATGAGTGCTCTTTAAAAAGAAATCCAACTTCCTTGCAAGGTGCACTTTCTAAAAAAAGCTCATGAAAAAGTTCTTCCTATCACTTGACTTACATTTCACTAAAACATGCCAGAAACTGCATAAAACTAGAACGCGAAATTTATGAGAACGTGCACAGGGAAAGAAACTCATGCTTACCAAGTTTGAGAATTAGCCTCCAGCATGCATCTGTTGATAAATTTGTAACATCGCTTTTAAGCGGAAATCCCACTTTGCCAGAAATCCTACCAATCTCTTCTCGGTGAGAGGGAGATTCCCTTCCCTCGCCGTTGACCTTTATGTCATCGCTTACGGACCGCAATCCTGTCTCTGACAATGATGATCGAATCTTAGGCACACTGGACCTGTAGAATTCTGTAAATCCACCGCCAGAAACCGTACTCGTCCTCTCACTCCCAGCCCCCAGCGATAAATTCCGCAAGCCTGAAATTCCAGGAGTGACATCCAAATTTCCGATAGCAGGAGACTTCAGACTAAATCCACCGTTCGCACCACCCGCCAGCATGTTCAGGCCATTCCTCGAGAGCGAGCACAACATGGTAAGATACATGGATTCATCCTCTACTCCTGCACTTGCTTGCTTCGTTGGAAAAACTTCCCCCTGACTGCTGCTTGTGCTTCTGCTCGTGCTTCCAAGCGACAAAAGATCCCGGTCACCACTTTCATCTCCATCTCCCTTCATCAGGGACATCCGCGTTTCACAGATCCCCTCAACAAATGCCCGAGGTACCTCGTCCAAAACATGTAGCTCTCAAATTCCAACCCTCAAGGCAACACCCACCATCATGTTTTTCCTCTCCGTTCACCTCGTACCCATCCACACAAACTCTGATGCTCCACTATTAAGGTCACCCACATGAAGCAAACCAACGGCACATACACTCCGTTATCCTTTTTCCTTCCTCTTGCCCCGCGCCGGCTCGCCACCACTCCCACGCTCCTCGCCTCGACGACTCGCTAGCAATCAACAGGCCCTTAAAAAATAAAAAAAATAAAAAATAAATAAACCAAGACCTTTACAACCACAATCTCCAGATTGCCACCACCTCAAGCAAACTCCATTCCCTCTCTCACCACTTGCCTACTGCTCCACACGCGTGAAACTGATAAAAGCATTTGAAGATCACTCAAGCAAGCTGGTATTAAACGCACCACCCACTTCCGGAAACGCGAGGGCAGATTGATAAGAGCTTGATACGAGAGCGCAGGGCGATCGCAAAGTAATTGATGGTAAGCCGTCCACAACCAGCTGGTGCTCGAGGTTGTGCAGGCGCGACTAGCACATGGAGTAGCTGTGAGGTGATGGGAAAATCGACGATGAAGCGCGTAGCAAAAGCAAAATACTGTGTGAGTATTTGCAGGAAGGCAGGCAAGCAGGCATGTCAGGTACGACGAAGAGACAAACGGCCGCAAGGGCGCGGCCCCACCGTGTCCCCCCCCACTCCCCCCACCTAGCGTCACTCCTTCGTCAACCCACGTCCTTGGCAACGTCACAAGGTTTTGCCAGGTCTTCCTCAAATCCACTCCCCTAATCGTCTCCACGCCCTCCCTGAAAATTATATGGCGCCTTCGCTAGGCCACTGTCGGCCAAACTACCCCCAACTTTCTCTTTTACTATATTTAGAGTACATTATCTAATTTTTCACAATCGGTAACCCTCAGTGTTGGACGTCATATTGTGCTTCGGGAATCCACCGGGTTATTCATCCCGGATTTTCTTGCTCAGTAGTGGTGCATGCTACGTGGCTGGAATAATCACGATGTGCTGGTTTTGGAATTGTGCTCCGTGGTTTGTGAACCCTAATATTAAACGTTGTTAATGTTTTTTGTAGCAGCACATTGTTCTTAAATTTGGATGTGTGAGGTTTGCAACGAGGGTAGGTACAAAACATGTGTGACAAGGTTTTGCTTAGGAGTGTTGTGGTTGTTTTCACGTGAAGGAAAGGATTCTCGATTGTGAAGAAACGTTGCTTTTTGCATCCGAACTTTGGATGTCATTTCTCTGCGTCGCTTTTGTTTTGCTGTGTTGTTTCATCCACAGGAATGTGGTGGTTGGTCTCCACTGTACGCTTCTACAAAGAGCTCCAGCGTTGAAGGCCCCATGGAGTATTTATATACAATGCTGTAATAGGGCCACTATGCATCTTGCTTTCTACCTTAGACCCCTCTAGATAGAAAGCAAGATACATAGTAGCTGTAGCTAAGAATTTTGGTTTTACTGTATCAGCAGAGATTCAGCAAAATGGCTTGGTTTTAGTGATGCATGATGCCTGCATATGCTAAAATTCCTATCTTGCTGTGTTGGATCTATACCCAGTCTTTGTGTGAAGATTAATTCTTCCACTTCAATTTTAAAATAGGATGAGTTCTCTCTCTCTCTCGCTTTTTACATATACCTACCTCTGTGTGTGCTTACACAATTTTTATATTTTTCATTGATTGATTGTTTACAGATCATGATTGGAACTCATCTTAGTTATGGTTTTTGATTTAAAAATTGGTAGTTTTAATTTTTAATTTTTTTTCAAGTTATAAAATGGTTACAATGTTTTGTTATAAGGCTTATAATTTGGTATAATCTGTAGATATTATTTATGCTACGTTCTTGTGAGGTTGGTTTGTAAAATTTAATTTCAATTTGTACATAGTAAAAAAATTTCCAACTTGATAAAAAAATCTACTATCACAAATATAGAATCTTAAGAACTTAAGATTAAATGATTTATAATAAAATCAATACAAAGAAATGACTATGGTTGTTTTGGTGTATATAGTGGTTGAAGAAGTCCAAAAAGTCAATGACAAGGATTCTTTGATCTTCAACAAATATAATGTTGTTGTAATAAGTCTATAATTGCATTTCACATTTGAAACCACTAATAAATTCTTGAGATTAACTTTAAGGTCTTATTGTTTTTAAAATGCCTTATAATTAAAAAAATATGATAAAATAAAAGAATACATATATATATATATATATATATATATATATTTAAAATATATAAGTATCAAGGGCAAGAATTCAAGAAGATACATAATAAATGAGAAATAAATCAAAGAATAATGACAAAATAGAAATAAGTAAGTGAATACATCTAATAATAAAATAAAATGGCTATTTCTAAAGATTAGGAAATCAAAGATTCTTGAAACTAGACTAGAAGCAAATAAGGAATTGATAAGAGTGAAGAAAGCTTCACTCCTACCTCTATATATACTATCTCCCTAAGAGTTACGTCGCAATATTCTATAAGACTTCCAATATGTGTTCAAATTATAAGACACATATTTAATTTACAAGTCAAGTTTTCTATATGTACGTCACATAATTAGCTTGTTCCACAAGCTACTAATATATTGTTGTAGTAGAGATATTTTACTTCAAAAAAGCATTGGATCTCTAGCTGCCACTAATTATTCAAATAAGTTACAAATTTATAAAATAATTTTTTTTATTTATAGCTTATCTTTATGAAGATAATTACATCAAATATATAAGTCTTAGATGTACAAGAATTTCCAAGATGTGACTATATATCCTAAAACTACTTTTATTCTTATGGAGACTCCTTTTGAATCTGTATAACCTAATAACTCTCAATCTAACTATCCAATTGGATTCACACTTCTCTATAAATTAACATATATCTTTAATTACTTTTATAAAAATGAATCAACTATAGATGCATTATAGATCTTTATATATTGCCTATTTTTTATCAAGTGCTAAACAACTCAATTTTTAGATACCTACATATAAAATCCACTATATTTCAAAAATCCAATATTCAAATATTATGAACTTTTCTATATAACTTTTTAACATAGTCATCTATACTTGTAGAAATTTTGAACCAAAAATTTATTAAAAAACTCAAGATATGGCCTAAATTTAAACCTCTATGAAAAGAACTTACTTACAAACTTCAATTTTGAAGTATTAACTTTCAATAATACTTTCTTCTTTATTTTGAATTTGAATTTATTGATTCTTTAATATTAATTTTAATTCTTTAAGTCAACTTTTGAATCTTAATTTTTGATCTCCAAAAGCTGTCATATAACTTCTTATACTCAAAAAGATTGTAATAGGTACAATTTCAAGACCTTAACTTCAATCATCTATTTCTCTCTCATAAAAATTTCAAATTCCTTGTTTTTTATATGAAAATTATAGTTTTTACTACAAAATAATAAATTATAATCTTTGAACTTTAAATGGCTATCTTAAAGTAGCTTCAAATCTTAATTTAGACTCAACCAACATCTTGAAGTCTATTAGGCATGATCTTCAATCAATAGAAATGAAACCTTCCATCAACTTGTCTTATTATTCTATATGGCATAACTTAAAAGTCAAAATATTATATCCTTGAAACCAAAATTCATCTAAATTCTTTACCAATAAATCCTACAACTTCTATCTTTAATTATAAAACTTAAACTATAAATTTAAATAAATTAAATAAGTATTTTAATTTTTTTAAATTAATTTTTTTAATACAATTCAAAATTTCATAACATTTCATATTATTTTTATATATTATGCTACTTTCTAATATAAAATTCACCTCCTTAAAACCTGCACATCCTCCAATATATACAAATCTAACCATTCTTATCTTCTTCATCAACTCCATCTTTTTTTGCATCTTCTATTTGGTCTAGAATTAATATTTTAAAATCTAAAAGATTACTTGAAATAAATTTGCCATCTCTTCTCTTAAATGCCTTGATTTTCTTTTCAACCATAGATATTTTTAACATTGTACCATCCAACTCATAAAACAAATAAGTGGCATTGTCATACATTGCTACCACCATTTATAATTCAAACCATCTTCAAGCAAACTTTCTAAGAGTGCTATGTTGGTACTCCAAACTACTATCAAATACTAACACTTAATTTTTAACTTTAATTGGTTAGATTTCAAATAGTGGATTTTGTCAAACCTCTTTTAGTTGCTCAACTTGGTAACCTTCAATTTTTTTTAATGCAATTTCTTGATCTTCAAGTAATCTTTTAAGCTACTGAATTTGGAGATCTAATAATCTCTTACTTATAATTTCATCCTTCTAATTTAGTAGTATCCAAGTAGCTACAAAATCTTCTACAAGCATAATTATCTTTTGACCTAATATCAACTCAATAGGCATATAACTAGTAACAATGCTATGAGTGGTTCTATTTGCCCATAAAGCAAATAATAGAAGTTTTAAAAACTACTTTGACTTATCTCTGCAAGCCTTTATAAGAACATTAATGATAGAAGGATGTCCTTTCTTTCTCTTTTTCTATTAGCCTCAAGGTTATAAGTAGTTATCAACGTCAACTTCATATCATATCTTTGAAAAAAAATCTCTAGGCTTTGTTGTATCAAATTCTCCTTAATCAGCTTTCATCCTTTGAATGCTATAATATCTATTAAAGATATGCTCTAATATGAATCTATACATTCTTTCTGTGGTCTTGGTCTTCAAAGCTCTATCTTCAATGTTATCATATTACATAAAGTTTTATTTGATAATGCATCAAGCACTTGGCTATAGAAGATAGAAGAAAAAGTGCAACAATAAGATCTTAAAAACTCTAATAAAATCTAAAATAAAGTCTAATTAAACCTTAATAATATTAATTAAGCTTTAATCAAATTCAAAAGATATCTTATAGAAATTATAAAAGAAACATAAAGAAATCTTTAAAAAATATTAGAGAAGTCTTAAAT